AGGGTTTAGGGTTTAGGGGGTTTCTCATAAAGCTAAGAGAGAATTAGCCTTCTTGGGTGTTCTTTAAACCCTCCTCTGCTCGTAGCCTTTTTCCTTCTGGGCGTTTAGACTCAGAAAAGCGGGGGGGGGGGGCAGCTCCCAGCCGGAGAGGTGATGCAGATTTCCGGCTGCCCCTATGGTCGTGGCCGCGCCTGTTGGTCCTCCAGCGGCTTCATACAGAGCCTGGAAAGTGACTACACGTGCCAGGAGCAGTCGGCGGAAGAGCTGCGCAGTAACGTGAGATGGTCCAGGTTGGTTTAGGGTTTAGGGTTTAGGGTTTTAGGGGTTTAGGGTTTTAGGGGTTTTTAGGGTTTAGGGTTTTAGGGGTTTAGGGTTTAGGGTTTAGGGGTGACGCGAGATGGTCCAGGTTGGTGGAGTCCATCCGGGCGATCGGGGAAGCGAAGGACACCGAGACCGAGGGAAAGGAGGAAGCCCTCCTCACAGCACAGGCGATGTGGGATCATGGCTGTGCCTTCGGTGAGTACCTCATGGAGATGGACGTGACATGGGGGTCCTGCTTCTCTTGGAGATTCGATTGGGGACTTAAGACCGTGGAAGTTTTTTGCCCAACTACATGCCACTGTGATTCCACCAATTTGGACTCTGGCTGTCCAAGGCCTTTGGGGGAGAATTGCGAGATCATCGCTGATGCGTGTGTCTTCGCGAGCGGCAGCTACATCTGCCCTGAGAACACCCCACATTTCGAAGGGAAGCTCGAAGTTGCTCTTGACGATCTGGAGGCCTTCGATGAGTTTTCGGAATTGGTGATCGAGGCCCTTCAGAGGACCTTGGCGACCCTCACTGGGCATGGGGTCTTGCCGGAGCATGTGCGGATCGAGGAGTCCGCAAGCAGACGCTTGGCTCTGGCTCGGCGGCTGCTGAGAGCGAAGAGCTACGACTACTTCGTCTTCGTGATCTCCGAGGCCGACGCAACTGCAGCCAGGGATGCCCTAGCAGCGAGGGAGCCGCAGGCTGTCTTCATCCAGAGCCTTCTGGACTTGGGGGTCCCAGCAGAGGGCGCGGGCTTGAACATCGAAGTGAAAGGTGTGGTCTCATCACCACCGGTCACCAGAGTCAGCACGACCATCAGCACCACAGGGACTTCGCTCAGCGACGGCAACGACGCCGGAGCAAGCAACCCACCCACAACCACAAGCACGACGTCGACGTCCCAGACCGGAAGCAACGAGACCAGTGTTGCATCGCCGGGCGACCGGCCGGATCGATCCTCCGGCCCCCCAGGGGCCCCAAGTGACCCACCCTAAACCCTACGCCCTAAACCTTAGACTTATAGACTTATATACCTAAGCCCTAAACCCTAAAACCAAACCCCTAAACCTTAAACTGATATCCTTAAACCCTAACCCCAAAACCCAGTGAAATCCAGGCGGCTCTCTTCGTTTTTCCATCTCTCATCGATGGAGCAAGGGGTCCGTTCTGGGGCTTAGGGGGCCGTTTAGTAGAGAAGCCGCTATACAGCCAGGAACGAGATACCCTAAACCCCAAACCCAGAAACCCTAGAAACCCCAGAAACCCTAGAACCCAAAAAATCCTAGACACTCTAGAAGCCCCAAACCCCAGTTAGTCTTTTGTTCTGGAGCTCCCCGGCCCCATGCAACCCCTAATCCCGATGGCTTTCTCAACTTCTAGTCGGAACCCCCCCCAAAAAAAAACTTCCGTGAAGGGTTTGGGGTTGAGGGATTAGGGTTCAGGGTTGAGGGCTTAGGGTTTAGGGTTTCGGGTTTCGGGTTTAGGGTTTAGGGTTTAGGGTTTCGAGTCTAGGGCAAACTCGAGACGGAGGCCTGTAGTGAATGTCTGCTTTTTGCTTGCAGCTCCACCTCCGAGAGTGTGCGAAGAGAGTCCACTTGGTCCGAGGGTCCCAAGCGCCGTGTTCTGAGGAGTCAAACTTAAGTGCTACCGTCGGTGCTGCCACACTGGGTGCTTGGACCCTCTGGATGTAATCTTGCGTCTGTTGCACGACGAAGGCATTCTCAAGAAAAGAGAAAGAAAGAAAGGGAGAGAGAGAGAGAGAGACACCTGCATTTTGCACATTAGTCACCTAAGGTGTATGTGCTTGTGAGGCTGTGAGGCTGTCCATGCCCCGCTGGGTTTGCGAACTAGAAGAAAGGCTTCTTAAAAATGTGGGAGCATTTGTTTTGCGGTGTCCGCGCCTTGGCATACCATCCGGAGAGTTTTTGGTTTTGTTTTCCTGAGTTCTTGTTTGAGAGCTCAGTGCATTTTATCACAACAGGGCGAGCATGGTGTTTGCCGAAACATCCCTGTTTTCATTGCGTACGTAAAAGGAAGACTTCTGCAAGAATCCAGCTGGCTCCCCCTGTCTTTCTTTGCCTCAGGGCATAGCAGCGAATCCTAGGTTTTAGTGGTTCCGTCGGAGTTGTACATACTCTGCCGGGGCACCGGTCGCTGTGCTCGCAGGGTCGTATGTTGCAAGGCAGAATGTCTTTTGAGAGAAGTCTTTACAGCCCTGGTCTAGAGGAAGCGCTTGTGCAGCTACCTCACGAGTCTCAGTGCTGTCAAGGTGCCGCTTGAGATTCTTCCCGTTCCGTGACCGCCAGAGGCTGAAGGTTGCCATCACGCACTCGGTTGAAAAAGCTGATGCTCCGCCTGCGTCCCTGCAGCTTCGCTATAGGACTGAGGGGGGGGGGGCCCTTCCACCATCTCACCATGCTGCCAGCTGTAGCTGTGGAAGCCTTAGCCCTCCCGTAGTTGGATACAGCAGGGGAAAAGTACAGCAAGAGGTGCCTTTCAGCATGTACCGGAGATCTACTGGTCCAGCCAGAGCCCAACACCCTTACAACAAGAGTCTCGCAAAACGCACGCACTATGCCTCAAGCTATGTCAGATTCTCTAAAGTGATTCAAGGTGCATTCTTTGTCAGACTGTCAGACTTCTTAGAAAGTATTACATGAAGGTTTATTCCTCGCCCTAAGGGGTGATGGGATTTCTGACGGCCCCACCCGGAGGAGATCGGTTCGCCGGCCGCCGCGACGTGGAATCCGTGTGAAGTTCCCCCCAAAACCCAAAACCCTAAACCAACAGGGTGTTCCCGACCGTGCGGTAAGGACAAAGCGGGCCATAACAAAAAACCCTAAACCCCCTAAATCCTAAAACTCTAAACCCTAAACCCTAAACCTGAACTCTAAGCCTTGAAACCCCCGACCCCAATCAACTTGATCCCCAATCACCCCACCCTGCACTCCGAAAACCCCGAAATCCTAAACCCCGAAACCCTAAACCCCGAAATCCTAGACCCTAAACCCTAAACCCCGAAACCCTAAACCCCGAAACTTCAAAACGCGCAGCGCGAGACAAGCCCTAAAGGATTGGCTGTTGATTGGCCCGAGTCTCAGAGTCAGAACTGAGAATGGTTTAGGGGTTTGGGGTGTTGGGGTTTAGGGGTTAGGGTTTTGGGGGTTAGGGCTTTAGGGTTCTAGGGGTTTAGGGTTTTAGGGTTTGGGGTTTAGGGTTTAGGGTTTAACTGGCCGGCCCGGAGCCGATGGCCCAACTCTGCACAGATGTGCGGAACGTGTGTCAGACTCGTTGTGAGCGCCGTTGTCTGAGAGCCTGAGGGACCACTCAAGGGTCTAATATTAAGGCCGTGTAATTTAAGGTATATACTCCAACCAAAAAGAAACATGGAAGCGGCTATAACTCCCTGGTTCTTAGTAGGGAATGGGGGAATGGATCCCCATGATAGTCCCTTAAGGTCCCCTCTAGTAGTCCCAAAGACACATTCCTCCATTCCCTACGAAGAGCCCTTAAAGGAATCCTTATAGAACCCTTAAAGGAAACTTCCAGAACCTTAAGGTCTATTCCTTAATTAAGGGAGTGGGGAGGAATGAAAGACACATTCCTCTCCATTCCCTTCCTCAGAAGCCGTCAGGGGAGTCTGCTTCCGTCTGGAGCTCGGGCTCTCCCCAGAGACTCCAATGTCCCTTACTTAAAGGAGTATACCTACCTTAAATCTTATTAGGGTTCCCAATATATGATTTAAGGTACCTTCCTTTAACTAATGGATATTATTGGAGTCTCTGGGATCATCTTCCCCAGCTCCGTGACATCGATGCCACCACACGCCAACTCCGTGACTTCATCGGCCACACGAAAGCTCGAGAAGATTGAAAAAAAGGGGAGCCTGCAGATCCTAACATCACGGAGCGCCTCTTCGCGGATACTTTTGGGGGCCTAAAGAAGTACGCCATGTCGGGAGTTCCTTTTTTAGAATTATAGTCTATCCTTCCCCAACACCCTATTCTAATGACTGAGGCCCTGACATTACACAACCCTAAACCCTAAACCC